TGTACAAGACATCAGATCTAAATTGCTTTTCATCTGGCAAATCCATGCCATCTTCACCAATGCCTGTGGAGTAGGAAAATCAACACACACATTGCCCTTGCTCTACGCAACTAATAACTTTTAACCAAGGCAGTAGCTAACAAAAGACGTGTGAGTTTACAAACCAAATCAATTGCCAGATAAATTGCAGTTCTGTATTATGTTTTTTTCTGTGGAGCCCCAAAAATTCACAGTCCTTCCAACAGCTGAAGGATCAGTTTCAATAAGTCATCCAGTTTGAATCAACAGATACTGAAAATAATCAGTATCTTGATGGCTTAGACCAAAAGGATAATTTAGATTATTTCATAAGCAGATGTTGCAAGGCAGAGCATGCATTTCAAAATTAAGGGCTTATCTCTGGTATTTTTTCTATTACTGAACTGCAATTTGTACTTCAGAAACAATTTGGAATTTTTCATTCCCATGATTCTGCATATTTTAAGTCTAGAATACGCCAGATCAAACAGGGATAAAGTTATTCACACTGAATGAACTGCAATAAAAATATTTCCATATTAATTTTATATTATTAATTTTCCTTAAAATAGATTTATTTCAGTTTCGCACTAAATACTTATGTTCGGGGCAGGGTGGGGGAGAATATGAACATTTGCTAACATTCACTTGAGCTGGCTAGCGCTTGCACGTAAAAGGCATACCTCTAAAGAACTATTTCAAGCTATAAAATTACAATTTCTAGTTCATACAAGCACTACATATTAATTTATCAAAGAAAGTCAGTGAAGTAAAAAATAAAAGTGATAGAGCAGTCACACAAAATGACTTAAAATGCACATTATCTGAAAATAGTTGTTAAAGAAGTGCATTTGCATTTATTTCCCAAATTAATACTATAAATATGCAGCTCATATCTCTTACAACCAAATTCCTGAAATAAACATTTATTGTATGTCTGCTAACATTAATTCCATAATTACTAGACTCTAAGTACATCTACATTATATAAAAAATAAAGCATTCTATCTTCCTTTATAATTCAAAATAAGCAAAACTAATATACCAACATTATAATGAGTAATTTTGACATGCTAAAGGTAATTCTAATCTAGTATCCAAAACAGATTAGTTCTACCCAACAAACACCAGAGTAAAAGGTTTACAGTATTATGGTAATTCTAACCAAGAAGTACCATCAGAACATTTCTTTACATCGCATTTGGACCAACTTAAAATAAGGGTGCTGCAATGCTAGTTTCCATTTTTGCTGCGGTTTTTGTTTGCTTGTTCTTTTTTTTTTTCTTTAATCTATCAAAATCAAACTCTTGAAAAGCATCCACATACGGAACGTGCTTCACTAGTTCTCACCAAGAAGTTATCTTTCCATCTCAATTTCTTTTATATGGTCATAAAGCTGTGAAGGCATCACCGTGTCATAAATAAAAAAAAAACTAGCATCTATCTCCAGGCATGCCAGAATTAAATATGACTCCCACTGCAAAGCCACAGTAACTGCTTTCCAGTTTGAGAACAAAACCACAAATACCACACAAAGATGGTATAACTATGCACAACTGCTGAAGGCATAAAAGTTTACATGCATTGAAATGAACATACAATTCTATTACAAGTGTTTAGCATATACAGCACTAGGCACAACTGCTATGAATTCAGCTTTCTACTGCACTTAACTGACACATCGGTACTATCTGTACAAGGAAGTCCAACTCCTCACATTTCACAATCATGCGTATGTTTGAAAACTGGCACTGATCCTTTCAGCAGAAATTTCAGCTTCTCCAACCTGAAAGACTGAGCAGATGCCTAGCTATCTGCCAAAATAAGCACCTTCCCTTACCCCTCTTAATATTCTCTGGTAGGACTTAAGAGACTTGTGTACACCTTAAACAACTACTAAACTAACTAAAGACTTTGCGACGTAAGGAGGGCAAGCAATATTAATTAAATTTAGCGAAGTTCATCAGACGACATCCAAAGAGCTGATATGCATGACAGAAATGTTAAAGACAAAAACTGTTTTCACCAGTTGCACCGCATCTTAAGTATAGCACAAATTTCAAAAACCATCTTTCCTTCCCAGATGTTGAAAAACTTGAAAACATTAATACAGACCTTAAAGAGAAAAAAAAAAAAAAAAAAAGATGAAAATATGCAGGTACCCCAGTGGAGGCAAAATACTTTACTGAAGTGTCTCTTAAGATGAGGATCAATTTTCTGAATGACACAAACCATCAGCTCTTCACTGCAGCATTTCTGGTCCAATATCCTTTCACTAATTTGACAGCAATAAATACTTTCCATTCTGTTGACACACACTGGGTGGAAAACACAAAAGAAACAACACAAAAAAGACCCACCAATCACTGAACGTTTTTCTGCTGGGGGAAAACACAGAGTAAACATTCTCTTAACCTTGCATTTAAACTACAGTAATTTCACTACCCCCTAATGTCTGAATACCGGATCACAATACAGTTTTTTTATCAACAATTAGTATATTAGGACCATCAATAGGTGGTGACTGCTGCATCAAGGGCATGACTAAGAGGATGCTCAGCAAAACAATCAAAGTTCAACCCTAATGCCAGAGTTTAGTGCATCATTTTTCCCTCTGATGACAAATACCTGAATGAAAAAGGCAGACCTTTACAAAGAGTAACAGCCTTTGCCTTCCGAGGAAAAAAAAGAAAGCCAACACAAAACCCTCAACGCTTCTCATCCCCTATCTAGAAATCCCCTGTATTTGTCTGTAAATTATGACACTATTTCAAAACTAGAATATGCATCACAGATCATACTATCTGAAAACACGCTATGTATTTTTGAGACAACGACCAACAACAAGCTACTACTAACAAGCAACGACTAACAAAAATCTGTTGCTGTGACTTAAGCATACTGTAAAACTTAACCATGCAACTTGGGCGCCTGCAAGAGTTCTTTTGAGCAAACTGGTTCTGGCGATTCCAATTACCATTAAGCACAGGACTTTTAAACACAGGATCTGGGCTAGTGAATACCAAAACTTCAGGACAAACCCAAAAAAGCCCCTTCTCTTTCTGAAGAATAAAAAACTCATCATTCCCTAATCCAACAGTAAGGTCTTCGTACACCAGGCCTGTGATGGATTCATTATATGATAAGGGTTACAATACTTTCCTCCACCATGATTTTTCAAATCATGGAATATACAAAAGCTTTTATATCCCAACAGTAGCATACTAGGTCAATTTGTCTATCGGATTGTTAAGAGTTTAAGAAGATTAGGAGTGGTTTTGAGATCAGGCTTTAAGATAACGTTATCATCTACACCAGGAATGTCCCATGCAATTTTAGAACAAAAAGCTGAAATAGAGCTTCATCAGGTAAAACATCTATTTCCAGATAGCCTACACTGAAAGAGTATTTTTTTCCTGTGTATGTTATTAGGAAGGTCCAGGACAGACTAATCTGCCCTCTGTGTTGTGTGCTCTCAGGACACAGCAAAAGAAATTTCTGAGCTATATAATACAATTCAAAGGTCAAAATTCACGTTTTCCCTCAACTTTTTGCACTGTAATCCTTTAATATGCTGTCAATCATGAATTTCAAGAGGAGCTTGTCTATAAAACCTACTTCATTTCAGAGCAAGTTTCCTATCAGAGTAAACGCTCACACTGCAGACTCCTGTAAATCACCCAAGTGCCCAAGACATAAGCACCACTAAAAATAAATGCTAAGAAAAGACTAATTAGACAGCTCGTTTCTTTAGCCTCCAGGCCCAAACAAGGATGTCTTGTTTTCTGACCTTCTCCCATACCACTTCCTAATTACTAACTTCATATATGCATAAACAGCTTCATGCTGGCTGCCATTCACAAAGAACAGATTAGGAAAACATCTAAGGCCCTGGTCCCGAAACCACACAGACACGCGTTTAAATATAAGCATGTGGGAAACTCCAGCGCAGCCTTGGAAGCAGCTCTTGTGTTTGACTGTAAACAAGCACATCAACCCATATGCTGAGACCACAGTCCTGGAAACATCCAAGCTCCAAGACGAATGAACCACATGTCCACGACCAGCTCCTCGGAGAGACCCAGCTGCGCGGTTGTTTTTAAGGGGAAATCCAAGCACACATCCAGGGGGCTGCCGATGAGGGCCCCGAAGGCACTCAAAAAGGGGTGTCTCACAAGGCATCAGCCTGACTTGCAAACAGCATTTCGGAGCTCCGCGCAGGAACCTGAGGTAACCTGTCACTGTGCCCCGGGAATTCCCGCAGTTAACGACGGCCCGCTGCGAGGGGCGGAGCCGGGCACGGACACATCGCCCCATCACACACACACACACACACACACACACACACACACACACACACACACAAATCCTTCCAGGAGCGGGGCGCAGCGGGCAGGCTGCTGCAGGCCGGCGGCCGCTGCGCAGAGGAGGGGGGGCGGCAGCAGCGGCGAGGCCCCAGCGCTGCCCAGGGCACATTAAAGTGCGATGAGGCAGAGGAGGCGCGGACACGGCCGGCAGGAGGGCGGGCGAGCGCGATGCCCTGCGCAGCGCAACTCCTGCGGCTGCCCGGGCTGGCAGGGGCGCGGGTCTGGGGCGCGCTGGCAGCAGCGCGACAGCCGGAGGCGACCGCCCGAGCGCCAGCACTGCGGGGCCGCCCGCGCTCCGCACCGCCGCATCCCGACCGGCCGTCGGGGGAAAGAGCCACGGCCGCACCGGCCAGCGGCGCAGAGGCGGCCCCGGGTGCCCCGCGGCCGGCCGGGAGACACACGGCCTGCCGGCAGCGCCGCCGCGACCCGCCCCGCCGCGCCGAGAACGGCGCGACTTTCTCCGCCGTCCCGTCCCGCCCGTGCCTCCCACCCGGGAACGCACCCCGGGCGCTGCGGAGGGCAACTCCGCGGCCCTGCGCTCCGGCCTCGCTGCCACTCGGGGCAGCCGGACGCCCAACCCCGATCCCCGTCCCCCGGGGCCCCTCTCCCCCTCACCTGGTGGCGGAGCTCTGCCGCCCGGGGCGCCGCGGGGCGCGCCGTGCCCGGCGGGGCTGCCCCGGCCCTGGCTCCGCGCTCCCGCCTCCGGCAAGCTCGGCCCGTGGAGGGGCGGCGGCGGGCAGAAGGCGGCGGGCGGCGGCAGGCGACCGGAACCGCCGCTCATGGCGAGTCCCGGGAAGCCGGAGCGGGAGCGGGTCCGCGGGAGTGCCGGGAGAAGGCAGGCAGCCGAGGGGGAGGTGGAGGCGGCGACGGCGGCCCCGACAGCGGGGGAGGAGGCAGTAGAGGAGGCGGGGGGCGGCGGAGAGGAGGAGGAGAAGGCAGGCAGGAAGGGGGCGGCGGAAGAAGCCACCCATCTGCCGCGCCGGCCCGCCTCGCCGGCCTGCCGGAGGTGCCGCTCGGCGCCGCTCTCCCGGCCGCGCGGAGCGGCACCGCGGTCCCGCCGGCGGGCAGGGGCGAGGAGCCCGGCGTCGGGCTGTGCCCCGGGGGATGCCGAGCGGGCGGCCACCGGCATCCCTCGCCCGCTTCGGCTGGCCGGCGGCGACCGTCGCCCCGGGAGCAGCCCCAGCGCGGGGGCGGCGGAGCAGTCAGAGCCAGCGGGGACGCGCGGGTGGCATGGGCGGCGTGGGGAGCCTCCAGCCGGGGCGCAGCCCACTGCCGGGCAGGGAGCGCCGGTGCCGAGCCGTGCCGGCTGCTCTAGGGGAGAAGCTGCTGCCGCCGAGGTGGAGGAAGAAACCTCCCCGCCTGCTTCCTCCCTCCCTGCCTCCTTCCCTCCCTGCCTCCAGCCCCAGCGGCCCGGCGGGCGGGCGCGCTCGGCGCCTCCCCAGGGCCTCTCTCCGCTGGCAGCAGCTGCCGCAGGGCGTGACGGCCCGCGGGGCGCGCACAGCCCCGCACTGCGGCGGAGCCCCCGCGGGACAGCGGCAGCGGGGTCCGCGCCGGGAACCCCGGCGGGCCGCAGCCCGCCCCGGCCGGACCCTGCGTGCACAGTCCGGTTTCATCCTCGCCCCGTCCCGCCGCCGCGGGCGCTTCGCCCTCGCTGCGCGGCTCCGCGCACCGAGGCGGCACAGAGCCCCGGGGAGGGGGCGGCGGGCAAAGGGGCAAAGGTCGCGATGGATGGGGCGAGCCGGCCCCCACGGGCACGTGTGGGGAGCAGGGACCGCCCCATCCAGCCGTCAGATTGGGAGGCGCCAGCGGGGGGCGGTGGGTACCGGTCCCTCGCAGGGACACACCGCGCCTGCCCGGGTGTGCAGAAGAGGCAGGGATGTCGCTGAGCTCCTTGTCACGGTGACGCCAGATAAACAGCATTTGTCGTTGCCAGATAAACAGCATTCTGGCAAATCCGCTGGCACGGGAAGACGCCAGGAACGCAGCTAAGGGTTTCTCTGAAAGGAGAAAGGGAAATGCCTCTTGGCGCGGCGCTGCGGTGCGGTGAAACAGCTGCGTGTGCCGAGCCCAGCCGGCGGGCTTGGTTCTCAGGAGGAGTAAAATAATGGGAGAACTGACACATGCACAAACAAAGAATCACATGGAACTTTACTACCTAGAGCGGTGCTCTTGCTGTCATCAGTGGAACAACAGCAGTTCTGTGCCGACGGATAATTAATTTCGTTTTCCCCATCACAGCAGTGGCGCTTTCTCCTGTGCAGTGCTGCGAGTGGGACAGATTTCCATAAATCTTGCTTTTGCCGGCATTACCCCACTGTGCCACCCTTTTCTCTCACGCATTTGGTTGAGATTTTCACCCGGTGTGGGAACAGGTAACCGAGACTCCCCAGACGATTAACACCTCAGGAACTTGTAGCAGACTATTTACATGATTCTTGTGTCCCAGCAATTACATGAAGCCATTCAAAGCCTTTCTTGATTTGTTTGCTTTAGCTTCATGGAGTGTTAGGTCTCCAGCCCTGAAACAGGAAGCGACTTCAACAGCTCCTGTCTGATGAGTCTGTGAAACGTGAAGGTGTCAAGTACTCTCCTGTCACATCTTCACCTTTCTGAGGTGTCTGCACCGCTTTCAGATTGCTGCTATAGGGCAAGCACACGCAGCCTTCGTGAAACTCGTAGCAGTTCGCAGCTGGCAGAAAGAGATGCAAAAGCCACTATTGCTTTATGATGATTCATTTTTCACTCACTTCCTGGGGGAAATTGCTTCAAAACTACTCCCATACTGAAGGTAATATCTAAGACATTTTGGCACAGACTTCCTTTTTTTTTGGTGAGCCCTCCAAAAACTGCAGATTTAAATATTGGAGAATTTTATACTCCAGGAGAAGATGTGAAAATAGCATCAGTTCTTCAACTAAGACAGTCTTTGTAACCTTTTTGCGTCTAGATTGTGTTTTAAAAGTAAGCAAAGAAAATATATTTCTGCAATATGAAACTACGTCAACTATTAATCAAACGTGCACTCCATACTAGAGGCTCTCTGGAAGTTCAGGAGAATTGTTTCTGTGCAGTATGAGGCAGCAGTCTTGCAGACGCATAACCTGACAGTTGTGGAGCATTGCGCTTCATTTACTTCTGGAGCTGAGGAATTCCATTTTCCTATCTGCTGTAAATTTAAATAAAGCCTTTTCAAGATAATATTATTGCAAGAGCTAAATCCAGATTTTTTTTTTTTTAAGTGTTGTTTTGCCCAAGTAGGACAATAAGAGCTACTATTTTTAGTCTAATACCTTGTTAGGGCAAGTACCACATTTGGAAAACCAGCAAGCTTTTGGCAGTGTACAGAAAGCCTTCTTCAGATCTGCTTAAAGTCTTCAGGTACTTAGAGACAAGGCTTTATCTGAGGTTTTAAACAACTTTTACCTCCTTTTTCTAAACAGAAATCCACAGATGAATGTCCAGAGTTACACTCCTTGATAATTTATGTCAAACAGATCCAGGGAATAGTTATAAAAAGCTCTTTGTTTTTTCTCTTAGTTTCTTGTGACTTTTGTTTTAAAGTTTGTAAACTTGAAATACTGCAATGATCAGAGATCTGCTGCATTCAGTGTTTTAGGCTTCTTTTTCCTTGAGGTGAATTCAGACCTCACTGGTTTGAGTCAGAACAATCATTACAAGAAATCTGACACTGATGCAAGCTCTTTTGCAGAACAGCAGTGCTTTTTTCCCAACCTCATAGCTAATCCTACCTAAAAACAAACACAAAATTGGAGTCTAGATTTCTGTGTCTCCTGGTCTGGCAGAATCAGTCATATGGTATAATTCTCAACTTCCTGTGACACAGTGTTGGAAGCAGTGATATAAAGTATATTGTTTCGTTAAAAATTGAAAAAGTTAAATATCCACTGTGCCCAAGGCATCCCTTAAAAGCTGATAGCAGCTGGTGTTTAAGATTATGAATAAGCCAGATTTTGCAATGATATGATTTTTACCCTGAATTCTTCATTACCTCTGTTTCATCTCTCTTGGTGCTGCTGAAGTGCCTGATTATGACACAGAGAAAAAAAAATCTAATGCAAATAAGACTGCAAGAAGACTTCAAGTTAGTTGAAAAAAACTGATTGAGGACCTTGAAAACTGACCTGTGGAAGGCCTCGAAGGCATTGGGGAGTATTCACCTAAAGGCATGAAGCAGCCTGTAACCCGGGTGAAGGCCTCCAAGGGGAGGATGTTAATGAAGCGTTCTTACTTCAGCTACAGGAAACATCACACTCACAGGCTTTGATCATGGTGCAGGGCTTCAGCCACTCTGACATCTGCTGTAGAAGAAGCACAGCAACTTGTAAGCAGGCCAGGAGACTCCTGGAGCGCATCGAGGTCTTAATCTTGGTAATAGATAGTAGCCCAACCACAGGAGGAAAATGACAAGAATAATAAGAATAGTAAGAAGGGCTTCTGCAGGTATGTGGTCAGAAAAGGAGACCAAGAAAATGTAGGACAGGAGAACTGGTCTGACACAGAAAACTATGAGGTATTCAACGATTTTTTTTGCCTCAGTTTTCAATGGTAAACTTCCCACATCTCACAAGATCTTTTTATCCAATCTAAATCAACTCTTTTTTGGTTTAGAGTAACTCTTCTGCAGTAAGTCTTGGTTTGTACAGAAAAAATATGCAGTTCAATTTAATATATGAAATACCAAATGGGAGGGACACTGCCAGCAGGATAGGTGATTTCATCATTCATCTTACTTTATCACCATCAGAATGTCTTTCCTCCTTGCAGTTGCTGCTCTGGATTAAGTCTAATAGTCAGGCTCTATGTAGGTTACAGTATTTTTGCCCGGTGGTAGCAAAAGCTTCCCACAAGAAAATTGGGCAGAACAACTTCAGTCATTCTAAATTTTTTATACTCTAGCCTTCAGAAGTATTAAAACACTGAAGAGGAGTGTTGTGAAGCTCTTCCAAGTTATGATGGAGAATGTAACACTGTTTGGATTAGATAACACAGCTTTATCCCCTACTCTAAAACTCCACTGCTTCTGATCACGCAGTAGGAGAAATATGGACCAGCTTTTTCAAATAACAATTGGAAATTATGGGTGATATTTAAACTCCATATAAAGGTGCATGATTGTTAGAGCTACTGAGCAATGGTAGCAGAATGCAGCCAGACTGAGCAAACTGAAATCGAACTGAAGAAAAGTAGACCCGTTATTGCAGTGTTGAAATGCAGATTTAAAACCTAACCTTTAGGCAGTTAGACCCCTGGACTGTGACTATTCACTCAGCTTTTGCTCAGATTTTGGCTAACATGTATTGAAGGAACAGTCATGGATGGACTCATGGGGAAAATGGGAAAAGGGACAGCACACCCAGTCCCCAGTTTACCTCGTGCAAATACATCCCTGAATGTCAATCTGTTGCAAATGGTGCTTTAACCCATAACAAGCTAAATAATATTGCTCAATACAAGTTACCTTCTGATGCTATTTGTCGTGTTTCTGAACTGATAGAAGAACTAGAGGAATGGGGAATCATTATCAAGCTTTCCTGTGTGCCTGCCAGTACAGAAATCTAATGACAAGTGGCGACTGACAGTAGATTATAGAGCCTTGAAAAGTGTCCCTGAAACACTCACTGCAGCTAGAATAGTGATATAGTTAATATTCCTAATGAATAATCCTATGTAGTGAACAATTCCAGCAGGAAGCTTTGAATACCTTGGTGTGCTATCCAGAAAATCAGGTGAGAATTCAACACCTATCAGTTAGAAAACACTGAATCACTTTGCAGAACTTTCAAGTGAAAGGAATAAGGGCAAGTGTGGATACTGTGGGAGTGAAACTAATCATTACTGAGTCTTGG